GCAATGGTGTGCGCCATATGCTGCTTCAACGCATTCCCTTCCTCTCGGAGTCTTGCGAGCTCGTCTTGACAGGTCATCTCAAAGGAGTGTAAAAGTTGCTGCAACCTCTGCTCTGCCCCCAGTATCTGCTCCGGTGTGAGGTGGCCGGAGGACGTGTCCAACGGCATCAGAAAGGCGTGCGCCACGTTAACCACCTCCCGTTTTTGCTGGTCAATGCTAAAAAAGGCATCCTCTAAGAAAAGAATGCGAGTGTGGAAATGCTGCACCATACGCGGGTGCTGCTCTATGAGAAGCATCGTTGCGGCATCCAGCACCACATCCTCTCGCCGATGAGGCATCGCGTCTTTCCCTTCACCCCACGTCGGTGTGGCTGTGTGGACAAGCAAAACAACGCAGGAACGCAGCGTGCCGCATTACCTCGTGCCCAGGCGTTTCGAATAAAGAAATAAAAACACACCATAACCACATTTGTGAGGAAGTTCAACAAATCATCGCACGGCGACCCATCCACTGAAAACGACAGCAACACCAAAAAAAAAAGAACAGTTTCTCGCCACGCTAGACCAGACGCCCTTCAACTCTCGTTAAGACCACTCATCACTCATCGTCATCATCCTCCAGCAATCGTCGGGCCCGTCGTTGTGCACGGCGGCTAGCATCAATAATTGGTTTGTAGCCAATGTCAACCACCTCGCCCTGCTCGTTTCGCACATACGTATACTTTGCCGCCTTTGCCGCAATGACCTCATCAGAGTCACGGAAGTAAATGACGTAGATCAAATAACCAGCAAAGGAAAAAGCCGTACCGAGCCACAGGCCCTGAAGCAACTTCCAACGCCACCCATACTGCCACACTATAGGAAGATAGGGACGCAACTGCCGGAAGAAGTAGCCACCTGCACTCTTTGGAAGATCTGGGAGTCCTGGTCGCGTTGGTTGCCCCTTCCGCTTGCGCCGCTCAACTTTCGGCAGCGCACGACAACAAAGCGTACAGCGTAACATCATCAGTAATTGCAAGTGCAAGTGACTGTGTGTGGTTGAGATAGACGGGTGTGTGTGGCAACAATGTCCTGCGGTAGCAAAGAACGCTCCAATAAGAACGCCCCGTGACGGTCACCTTCCACCTGCACACAATGTGATACTAACAACAGGGAAGCAGCCACCACCGACCCAAACACTACACACACACAAAAAAAAAAAACTAATTGAAAGTAACCGTCTTCTTTTCTACTGCACCACCCTCACTCCCTATTGTCTCGCTAAAAACAAGATTTTTTTTTTTTAAAAAAAGACAGAAACACCGGGGTTGCCACAAACAAATCTCAAAAATGCGGAAAGCAATAGGGGGAAGTTGAGAAATGCACAAGTGGTGTTCATGCTTGTGGGGAGGGGTGCCATTGCAACCCACCTTATCTCATATGCCCTCTTCAGCAATTAGAGTACCGTTACACAAAGCAAACTAAAAAAAAACACACACTTCCAAGTAAGTGTAATTACTGTCCTCTGTCTTTCCGCTTTTATTTGGGTTTCTCCCCCACTCTGTCTCACCCTTTCGTCCCTCAGGGAACGCGGAGTGAGAAATTCTCCTGGTTTCCTCTTAGCCCGTAGCCTTCGCCGACTGTATGATTTGCCGATGGAGTAACTCATAGCTCTCCCGATCCTCCGCAGTGACAGAGGGTCGCACCTTCTGCAGACCTGCCTCAAAATCGTCGCCACACACGGACGGCAGCAGGGTTTTCTCGCAGGTTTCCTCACTGAGGTTACGCTCCACTGAGTCAAGCTCCTCTGCAGTAGAGGCATGGTACAACTTTTTAAGGGCGTGCAGCGATGCCTCCCGCACGAGAGCCGCGAGGTCCGCCCCACTGAACCCTTGCAGTCGTGGGTCATGAGCAATGCGGTTGAGGTCCACCGAGGCGTCAATCGGGTAGCGACGAGCGTGTGTCGCCAGGATGGAGGCACGCTGTTCGAAGGAGGGAAGTGGCACATAAAGCAGTTTGTCAAGACGCCCTGGACGCAGCATGGCGGGATCAATCATGTCAGGTCGATTTGTCGCAGCAATAACGTACACATCCTCTCGCCCCTCGATCCCGTCCATTTCTGTCAACAGTTGATTCACGACACGCTCGCTACTTGGGTTGGCACGATCTGATCCACGACGAGGCGCAAGCGCGTCCAACTCATCAAAAAACAATACACACGGTGCGCTTGCACGCCCACGAGCAAACACCATTCGAACACTCCGCTCACTTTCACCAACAAACTTGTTTAACAGTTCGGGTCCCTTAATAGAGATAAAGTTGGCGCCTGACTGGTTCGCAATTGCCTTTGCTACAAGAGTCTTTCCACAGCCGGGGGGACCGTACAGGAGCACACCCACAGGGTGATCCAAACCAAAGCGTCTGTGCAACCTGGGCGCGCGAATAGGTTGCAAAATACTCGTGAAAAGCTCCTCACGTACGTCTTCCAAGGCGCCAATGTCATTCCAGGTAACATTGGGAATTGTGGTGAATCCCTCTCGCATGGCACTTGGCTGAACTCGCCTTGTGGCCTCCTTCATCTCCTCAAAGGTGACTGTAAAAGACATGAGCGCTTCCGCGTTGGGGTTTTCAAGCTCTCCTGCTTTCTCCAGCTCAGTATACTTGCGACGAATAGCTAAAATGCAGGCCTCTTTCACTAAAAGGTGAAGGTCTGCCCCAACGTATCCAGGCGTCATATTCGCAAGCTCAAAAAAATCCATATCCGATGCGACATGCAGTTTCTGACAGATGATGTTTAAAATACTCTGTCGCTCGGCTATGGTTGGAATGCCTAGGGAAATTTCACGGTCAAATCGACCTGCGCGTCGCAGGGCAGTATCAATCGCCTCTGGCCGGTTTGTCGCCCCCATCACACAGACGACTTTGTTCTCCTGCCGCCAAGCCCGTGACACTTGATCCATGCAAGAGAGCAGTTGCCCGACAATGCGACCCTCCATGCCACGTTGCGTCTGGTCCCGACGTCCTGCAATGGTGTCAATTTCATCAATAAACACAATACTCGGTGCCGCGCTGATAGCGTCCATGAAAAGATTGCGCAACTTCGCCTCACTGTCACCACTGATGCCGGATACAATTTCTGGTGCCGCCACAAAAAACAATGGTGCCTGTAGTGAACCGGCAATTGCATGCACCAATTTGGTTTTACCACAGCCAGGGGGGCCATGGAGCAGCACACCACAGGGAGGATCTGCCCCAAGGCGACTAAACAGATGCGGAGAGCGAATAGGCAACTCAATCAGCTCCTTAATAATAGGGATCTCCTTTTCGAGCCCACCCATCTCATCAAGGGTGACTTTGGGAATAATTCCCAGCCGTTCAACCTCCTCCTCCCCATTTTTAGGAGTTGTCTGCATACCTTCTTCTCCACGGGTCCGTTTGTGTGCCCGTACAGTACTTCTCTCGTCAGCATCATCTCTACGACGCTGTTGTGACTGCTGTTGTGGTTGGCCCCGATAGTAGCGACTGGTCTGTCGCTGCTTCATGAGCCGCCTCATCTGACCTGACATTCGCTGCTTAGCCACTGTTCCAAACAACAAAAATGAGGCAACCAAAAAAAAAAAAAGAAGTCAAATATATTTGTATGTTGAAGTCTTCCCACCTTAGCGCACATCCTCAGGTGTGTGTGGGCGCGTGTTTCGTCCCCTCCCCTTTTCCATTTTTTTTTTTTTGATTATCCCCCCACTTTCGCAGACTCGCTCAGCTACAGTGTCGGTTCGTACCAGTTTGTGGGTCTTCTTATATGACCTCCCCGCGACAAGCTAGCCTACCAACCCGTCGGTCGCTTTCGTAGCTGTGTCATTTTCTTCTTCTTTTTTTGTCTCGCTCGCTCTTGTCATATCGATGTCTGCTCTTACCGCCACTCCACATCCGCGAGACTCTTGCCCTCTTGGATCATGTCCCACAGTGGCGACATCTCACGCAGTCGCTCCACGTTTCGCACGCACTCCTCAATCGTTACGTCAATCTCCCGCTCAGTGGTGAAGCGGCCGATCCCAAAGCGAATGGAGGTATGAGCGTTTTCCGCACCAACACCAAGCGCCCGAAGGACGTAGCTTGGCTCCAAAGAGGCACTTGTGCACGCGCTTCCACTTGACACCGCCACTTTCTTCATCCCCATCAACAGACTCTCGCCCTCAACGCACTCGAAACTGATGTTAAGGTTGCCACAGTATCGATTTTTCATGTCACCATTGACGGTTATGTGCGACAACCGACTGTGCAAACCATGTAGTAGACGCTTTGAAAGTCGTAATATGTGTTCAGAGTCCCGCTTCATTTCGGCTTTTGCAATAGCACAGGCAGCACCCATCCCAACCACCTGTGCTGTCGCCACAGTGCCGCTCCGCACTCCACGCTCCTGTCCACCACCGCTGACAGGCGAACGCACACGCACACGAGGACGACGACGCATGAAGAGAGCACCACATCCCTTTGGGCCATAGATTTTGTGAGCGGAGAGGGACATAAGATCAATATTATCACGCTCCACATCAATGGATACTTTCCCCAGGGCTTGGGCAGCATCTGTGTGGAAAAGGACCTTTTTCTGATGGCACAGCCTTCCAATCTCGCTTATAGGCTGAATTACCCCAATCTCGTTGTTAACATACATGCAGGAGACGAGTGCAGTGGTTGGGCGAATAGCATTCTCAAGGGTTTGCATATTAACAAGACCGTTTTTCTCCACTGGAAGATACGTCACCTCAAAGCCGTCCATCTCCAGGAAACGGCATGAGTCCAAAACACATTTGTGCTCCGTCTGAAGTGTGATTATATGATTCTTTTTGCTCTTATTATAGTACGCCACGCCCTTAATGGCAATGTTATTCGACTCTGTGGCGCCGCTGGTAAAGAACACTCCCTTCGGACTGGCTCCAATGAGATCTGACACCTCTAAACGTGCCTTTTCCACGGCATTCTCCGCTACCCAACCGTAACGGTGTGTCCGACTGTGTGGATTCCCGTACTGCTCCGTTAGGTACGGCAACATCCTGTCAAGCACGCGTGGATCCAGCGGCGTAGTGGCCTGAAAATCCAGGTAGAGCGGTCGTGCCCCATGTTTGGGCGCTGTCGCTTGTGCCCCGGCAGAAGCAGGTGTGTCTGTTGTTGCCACTGATGCTGCAGCACACGAAGCTGACGTGGCAGTCGCCGCGGGTACTCTCTTCCCCGCCCTGAGAATACCGCAGACACCACGAAACATATACTGGCGGAACGAAGAAGCAACCCCAAAAAAAAAAATCCTTAACACAACAAACAAAAAAAAAAGGAAAAAACACCAGACCAAACGACAACCAACACTTGGAGTAAAGACGAAAAAAACATATCGACAAAAAAAAAAAAAGATAGAAGCAAAAAACATAGAAGGAGCAGTTCTGTGCACAAGATTGACCATTAACAAGGCAATGTTACCGCATTTCTTCTCTCTCACATACACGTATAGAAAGAGAAAGAAACAGAAAGACAGACAGGGGGAGGGTGACAAAGCATACATGCACGAAGACGTCAAATGAGTACAAGAGGCAAAAAAATAATAATAATAATCAGCACCACAATCTAAAAGCGCGCAGCGGCGGCAACGTTTACCAGGGAATCTCGTCCCCGTTGACGGTGTCGTCCACCGGTAAGAGGTCATGAAAGGTGTCCACTAACCCCATCGTTGACACAACCTCCTGAACAGCAGCAGCAAATTTCCTTAAATGTTCCTTGCTGGTGAGGGAATGCGCATTGTCGTTGCCCAGAGAGCCGTGTCCGGCTTGAAGAAAAAAAGCATTTACCCTGGAGAACAACGCCGCGTCATGGTCATTTCCAGCGCTACTAGCACTCCGTAGAGTGTCATATGCCCTCCATAATGCAAGATCCGTAATTCTCAGAAACTGACGGTAGCTTAGTCGTGCTGGATAGGCGCGTACCACCTCGTCTGCAATTGGCATTTTTGGGGGAATTATGGAGTAATGACGCAACAACGGCATGATATCTTTGCGTTTCATCAAACGGAGAGACAACAGCAAATCGTACTCAGCACCATGCATCAGGTCATGAAGTAATTCCTTATTGGAAGTCGCCAAAATCAGCAATTTTTTACTAGGGGAAGAGGTCCTTGCTGCGGTCCCATAAACGTGGGAAGCTCCTTGTGAATAGGTGGTCTTTCTAAACTCCTGGAGAGCAAGTTTAAAAACCTCGCTGGACATTGAACCACTGCCTCGAAGGTAGTGATCTAAATTCTCGATCACGATGCTGCGATTCCCTTTGGTGTGAACCGCATCACGCAGAGTGGCAATAAGTTCATCCATCGGGTTCTCGTGAGGATGACCATACAGTACACTGCCTGTTAGATGCATTGTGGGGTCAAAGCGTCCAAGTTGCAGTAACTCCCGAGCAAGTACGGTTTTTCCCGTCCCGGGTGGGCCGTAGATAATGATAACAGCAGCATCTGCGACACGGCTGTGAAGGATACTTTGCAGCAGCCGACGCGCTGCGTTCATGTTCCGACTGAAAGAACCATCGTAGTCGACGAGTGGAAAATTTGCCCCATTATTATTATTATTATTATTATTATCGCCCAACTGTTCTCCTGGCGTAATCTGCGCTTTGCCCTCCAATATGTCCTGAAACGCAAGCTCAAAATCCTCCTTCGATACCTGGAATTGGTGCACCGTTTTACCTGTGTCACTGGAGGCCTCATTGCTGGTCTTGGCGGAGACCTTCCCAAGGGCGTCGCGGTAACGTATCAACGCGTGGCTCGAGGCCGCCCTGACCATCCCAGCAACATCTGCCCCCGAAAAGCCCCCGCTGCGAGTGGCCAAAAGCTCTAAGTCTACATCAGGTGCGAGGTGGTGTCCCTCACGCAACTCACGTGTGTGGATAAATAACATGTCCCTACGACCCTCAAGATCAGGAGGAGGGATTTCTATCACCACCTCAAACCGACCAGGACGAAGTAATGCACGGTCAATGACGTGCAGTTGGTTGGTAAGGCCAATCACGAGAATGTTGTCCGCATCCTCCAAGCCGTCCATGAGCGCCAGCAGTCCATTTGTCAAACCATCGTAGACGGCCTTAGCAGAACTTTCATCACTCGACCCCCCACGTCGCCTAAAAAACGACTCAATCTCATCAATAACAATGACATGCAGTTGCCTCGTCGTTCCGCTTTCTCTCATTCCATCATGTCTCTCTCCCATCACATTAGCATCACCCTCATCAGCAGCAGCCTCAGCACCCACAAAAAGTTTTCGCAGATTCTTCTCAGAATCCCCAACGTACTTTGAGAGAATGTCGGCTCCATGGACAATTGTCACCCTTGCACTGCCATCGAGTAAGGTGGCAACGGTACGAGCAATGAGAGTCTTTCCATTACCCGGGGGACCGTGCAGTAGCACTCCTCGTACGTGTGGTATTTTTACTGCCTCGACCACATCACGAAGAGAAGAAAGGCGGCTAAGAAACACACGACGGTACAATGCATGCAACTGATCCTTTAAACCACCAATGCCAATTGCAATCCATTGGCTATGAGCATCTAACGAATCATCCTTGTTGCGGAAAAAATATTCCAGGGGGTCTTCAAACATCTCGTGAACATCGCTGTTCTTCACTCCGGTGTTGGAATTCTCCTCTGTAAGAGTTAACTGCACGGCACGACTCAAAACTCCAATGGTAACGCGTTTCTGAGTTTGCGTACTTGTTGAATTCTTCGTCCCTTTTATCGTCATCTGTAGTTCTACATCCATCCAGATGGCATCTTGTGCGAGGCGTTGAAGCCAGTGTGGTTTCTCCTGGAGCTTCTCAGAAGGGTGTGGAAGCGTGCATGACAAAATCTGTTGCGGGAATATTGTCGACCGTTGAACGTTGGCGCACTCCATACCAATCAAGTTGCATTCATTATTTCCCTCCTCGCAGCGTAGCGGAATTGGGGGACGCTCCCTCAGAAAAACCCTCAGAGGGGATTCCAGCGGAAACCCCCGTCCACGGATCGTAAGCGTCACAGGATGCTTCAACACTCCGTTGGCAAAACATCGGTACGTTTCCCGGCTTCTACCAGGCTGCAACGGTCGCTCGCACCCACTGACTGCAAGTATTTCCAGACCGCTTGAGGTCCTATTCATGCGACGCTCGTTGGAAAATGACGGGATCACCCGCGCGTTAGCAGGATTCCCACCCACGCACGCAAGGAGGAGAAGCATGCCAAGCACGTGGATGCATAACTGGAGCACCGCGTGAGCTGCGACGCTGGGTAACATGAGAACGTGTAAAAGAAAGTCCTGGTTCTTCACATAAAATAATACTAATAAAGGTTGGCAGAGAGCCAAAGGAAAAACTGTGAAACAACACAAACACAAGCGTGCAATATTTATACCCCTGCCACAATCCGTCACATTTACTCCATCATCTTCCCCCCCCGCCCCCACACACACACACTATTG